CTGAATGAGTTTCAGTTGCTCCACAGCCTGATCAAAACTTAGTAAACTAAAACATTTTCATTTCAGACATAATACCTGTGTAGTGATCTGTGTAACAATATCTCACTGTAAGTTTAATTTTCATTTCCCTAATGAGTTATAATGTTGAACTACTTTCCAAGTGCTTATTTGTCATCATACAGCTTCCTTGCTGAAATGTCTATTCAAATCATTGGCCTATTTTTGTACTGGATTTTTTTTCTTGTAGAGTTTTGAGAGTTCTTTTCACATATATTTTGGAGAAAAGTTCTTTATCTGTGTGATTTGCAAATATTTTCTCAAAGTCTCCAGTATGTTCGTTCCCTCCTCCCCCCCAGTTTTCTTAAGAATATCTTTCAAAGAACAGAATTTTTTTATTCTGAAGAAATCTTATTGCTCATCTTTTTTCTTTTATGGTTCATGCTTTTTATATCCTATTTAAAAGTCTTTTGTCTAACTTAAGGTCACAGAGGTTTCTTTCTACACTTTCTACTTGATGACTAAGAGTTTTATATTTGTGATTCATTTTAAGTTAATATTTTATACAGTGCTGGGTATGGATTTAACTTCATTTTTTTTTTTTGGTATATGTTTTTTCTTTTTCCTTCTTGTAAGTTCCAAATATATTAATGAGTAACATAAATTACCAAGTGAACAATTTGTTTCTGTATTGTTTAATTTCTCATCTAAATATGATTGTTCTTAATCTGCATAGTTATAAATATGCTATCATTATAAAGTCATTTAATTAAACATTATTTTATCCACCTCAATAGTAATCCTGTGAGCATCACCATATTTAGCTGGAGCAATAAAACTATACATTCACTCAGATGCATTTCACCATCTACCGGGGGGAAGGTTGGCTTTTCTTCCTGAAGAAGATACATTTATAGGAAAGGATAAATTCAAAGAGAATTATAAGAGATACTTGACATCAGTGCACCATTTTGCTTAGCAAATGAAGACATTTCCAAAGAAATCTTTTAACCTGTATGAGAAAGAAGTCCACACCAGTCAGGACCCAAACACAGC